AAACCCTCACAAGAAACAGCGGCTGTTGTTATGCCTGCTGTGACGTTAAGTTGCCTCTTGTAATTATGCCTTTACAAGCTTAAAAGTTGTATTTATCATCTGAATTTGGCGAAACAAGTTTAATATTCTTAAAACCAAGACTTTGTTTATTTGAAATCAGATGAAAACAAACTGTCACGGACCCTGCCATGTTATCTATGATTACTACGCTTTTCATTCATAATTTCAGCGGGAGATAGGGGGAGTGGTGCTGAGGAACAGCAGAGTGCGGCCGTGTTGACATTCCCCTTATTGTGGAATTAGGGGAATGCAGAGACTGGCTACAAGTGTTTTAGGTTCAAGTTAGACAACTAATATCTGGGTTAGTGTTCATGACTTCATGTTTATGTCATCTTAATGGTTAATCTCAATACACACACATTTTCCGTGCTTTCCAATAGTTTAAAATCGTTTTATTCCACTGTTTAATAACCTATTCAATACAAACATGCCACTTGTAAAAATGAAATAACATTTCTGTGAACCGATATTTGTTTAGTGAGCTTATTAGAGGATGTTCCCATTTTTTGGGGATGTTCCCTTTGATTGTAAAATGTCAATGAAGATGTCAGACTTAGTATATTTGTTAATAATTACATACAACTCATGGAATTGTTGTGTGTGTGTGTTCCAAGTGAATCTGCGGCCCCCTGGTGGCCAGTACATCAATTATGTGGCCCCCGCCACCATCAAAGTTGCCCATCCCTGCTCTATACAGTCATATGTCTATCTCTCTAGGGGCTGTATCATCATGTTAATCGTAGGAATATAGCTATCGTATGTAAAACAGTGTCTCATGAGCGTCATCCAGGTAATCATACATCTGCAAGAAACAGCGTCTGAGGGCTTCTTAACATTTAAAAACCTATTAATGTCCCGATCTGTCTGTGTTTTGTTTTGTTTTGTCTTGTCTTTTTCTGTCTTTGGTTTCCTGTTCTATTTTGAAAAGTGTACACCCCGTGTCTTGTCTGGTGCTTTCTGTCTGTGTTCCCTCCTGTCTGATTACCCGATTGTGTTCACCTTGTGCCACTGTGTTTTCTCCTCCCTCCTCACCTGTCTCTTGTTTCTTTTTTTAGTCTTGTATGTATTTAAGTTCTGGTTTTTCTGTCTGTCATTGTTTGTTCCTTGTGTGTCTTGACTGTGTTTACTGGGAAGATTTCTGTTATTACTTTAGCCTTGAAATAAAGTTATTTTTCTGTTTAAATCTGCATTTGGGTCCTGCCTGCTTCACTCAACCCTGACAGAAGGAACTAACCAAAGATGGGCCCAGCAGATCCATTTGAGGTGGATTTACTTAATTTTACCTTTTCATTGGCTTGCTGCTATGGTAGGTCGAGGGAAGCGTCCAGTGTTCAGCAGAAAGAGGCTGCTCTGGCAGAGGCGCACCAGGTGGCAACAGAGGAGCCATGTTTAGTGAAGTTCTTACCTGACTGGATTTTGGACTTCCTCTCGACATGTGATTCCCGGCCTGCTAGCCCCAGGCATGCGAGCCCCCTGCCTCCCAATTCCCTACCTGACACCATACGTCTTGGTTTGTTCTGTCTGGAGTCAGCCCCTGCTTCTTCTCCATTTCCTGCTCCTGTCCAGGATCAGTTTTCGGGTACTCGTCTGGCTTTTGGAGTTCCACGGAGCCTCCAAAAGGCTCCTAAGAGAAGGAGTCGCAAGTCCAGGCTAGCAGCCCAAGCCCCTGAAGCCATGCTTTGGGCTCCGGTACAGGCCCTAGCAGCCATGGTTCCTGCTCCAGTACCGGCTCACACAGCTATGGTTCCGGCTCCAGAACCAGCGCACACAGCCATGGTTCCAGCCTCAGTCCTGGCCCCAGCAGCCATGGTTCCGGCCCCAGTTTTGGCCCCTGCTGCCATGTTTCTGGCTCCAGTTTTGGCTCCAGTACTGGCTCCCCGGCCGACGCCAGCCCCCCGTTTCATGTTTGTGGTTCGGCCCACTCCAGCCCCTTGTGTCCTGTCGACGTTCCGGCCCACTCCAGCTCCTCGTCACCTGTTGGCTCTCCGGCCGACGCCAGCTCCCCGTGTCCTGTCGACGTACCGGCCGACTCCAGCACCTCGTCTCCTGTTGGCTCTCCGGCCGACGTCAGCTCCCCGTGCCCTGTTGGCGTTCCGGCCGACACAAGTCCCCTCTCAAGTTCCCTCTTGAGTCCCCTCTCAAGTCACCTCTCAAGTTCCCTCTCAAGTCTCCTCTCGAGTTCCCTTTCAAGTCTCCTCTCGAGTTCCCTTTCAAGTCACCTCTCAAGTCACCTCTCAAGTCACCTCTCGAGTCTCCTCTCGAGTTCCCTTTCGAGTCACCTCTCGAGTTCCCTCTCAAGTCTCCTCTCGAGTCTATTCTCCAGTCCCCTTTCAAGTCACCTCTCGAGTTCCCTCTCAAGTCCCATCTCAAGTCCCATCTCAAGTCCCCTCTCCAGTCCCTACTCGGGTCCCTTCTCTAGTCCCTACTTGAGTCCCTACTCGAGTCCCTACTCAATGTCCTGTGCCGTTGGGGGTCCCGCCGACTACTGTTCTGCCGGGGGTCCTGCCAACCCCATGTCCTGTGCCGTTGGGGGTCCCGCCGACTACTGTTCTGCCGGGGGTCCTGCCAACCCCATGTCCTGTCCCGTTGGGGGTCCCGCCGACTACTGTTCTGCCGGNGTCCCCGGAGTTGGGGACTTCCGGCCGGGGACTCCAGTAGAAGCTGCTGGGACTCCCAAAAAGTACTCCGGTGCTCAAGCGCCGATTATGTTTTCTGTAAAGGTTCACGATAGAGACCCAGACGTTAATTCAAAATTCCGGAATATTTTCACTTTTTTCTTGAATTATTCAAATGATTTACTCAAAACGTTCCAACTTCCTTCAGAATAACTTCGCTTTTTTAACATTCCACCTTTTTTTTCCGTTATATTCTGTCGTTTTCCAGAGAGTACGGAAAATGTACATTTATCACAATTTTCTTGTAGAATTAAAATGTTTAAAGTTAACATTTATTTTGTAAAATGTTCCAACTTTCTCACAAAACTCTTAGACGTTGCCGTGTAATATTTAAGTCTGACAACGTATGAAATATTGAGATTTTAATTAAAAATCAAATATTGGCACTTCTTTCGTTACCTATAAATAATAATAATAATATCCCCCCTCCAGACGAGGGTCCCTGTGGTCTCGCTCTCCGTCGTCCTGCTGATCGTCTTCGCCTCCATCTTCCTCTTCCTCGCCTTCAGACGTACGTTTCCCTGCTTCAACACAAAATGAAAACAGGCAGTTTGTTATTAATGAGATTTCTTTCTCTCTGCAGGCGGAGTGCACAGACGAGCCTTCAGCGGCGGGTGGTGAGTTCAGGGAAACACTCGCTCTGTTCCTATTGGCTAGAGAGCCAACACATTGGGCTTTGGGGCGGGACATCTCTAAGCGGTCGACCAATCACAACAGAGCTGGCCGGCTAACCAATCAGAGCAAATTGAGCTCTGGTCACTTTCTTTCTCGGAATTTGACATTTTTCTCAGAAATTTGACTTTTTCTCAGAATTAGATTTTATCTTTTTTTTTTCTCAGAATTACACTTTTTTCTCAGAATTATACTTTTTGGACATTTTTCTCATTATTTGTCTGATTCTCAGAATTCCACCTTAGTTACTTTTTTCTCACAATTATACTTTTTCCAAGAATTTGACTTTTTAGACTTTCTCAGAATTTCACATTTTTACTTTTTTCTCAGAATTATATATATATTCTCAGAATTATCGTTTTTGGACATTCTTTCTCATTATTTGTCCTTTCGGAATTTGACTAGACTTTTTTCTCTATTTGACATTTTTGACATTTTTCTCAGAATTATGCTTTTTGCCCAGAATTAAACTTTTTGGACATTTTTCTCATAATTTGAAAATGTTCTCATAATTTGACTTTTTTTCTCATAATTTTATTTTTTTTTCTTTCCGCAAAATTGACTTTTTCTAAGAATTTGACTTTTTATACTTTTTTCTCAGAATTAGATTTTATGTATTTCTTTCTTAACATTTGACTTTTTTCTCAGGATTTCACCTTTTTTACTTTTTTCTCAGGATTTCACCTTTTTCTCAGAATTATACTTTTATCCCAGAATTACTGGAAATTTTTCTCATAATTTGACTTTTGACATTTTTCTCTCAGATTTTGAAATTGTTCTCAGTTTGGACTGGGCTCTGGTTTTAGACAGAGGGTGAAAGTAGAGACGCTCATTGTAATATAACCTGCAGCTGGTTCTGTGTGTGATTGTGTGGTTCTGGTTGTGTTAATAAAGTTATGTTTTCTCCTGCAGCTTCTCGGAGGAGGAGGAGCCTCCGCACATCATCTACGAGATCCGGCTGAGGAGGCCTCTGCAGGAGAACGTCTACACGCTGGATTAAAATCATTCGTATTTAATAAAAAGCAACAAAACCTCTCAGACCCTGCTTCCCTCTTTATTGATAACAACAAACTGAACGACACGCGTGTTAGATATTCACATCAGCTGCTTTTGACAAACTCCATCCTCCATATCCCTCAGGAGAAAGAAGAACTAATTTTCATGAAAAATACTGAGATTTTACGCCTCCAAATAAAATGTATCATTATTTTATTTTTTCTGCAATATTATTTTTTTCCGTATTTTTCTGCCTTTTTAAATAATATTGACACTCTTTATGTTTGTTTGATTCCAGCTCATATTTTGTGACAACCTTTTCAAAAATATTCAGATTTTTTTCACAAAATTATTGAGATCTTTTTGCTAGTTGGTCACGATCAAATACTACTCATCGAAAAGTGTCGATAACCATCGGTTCCCACATGATTTGAGTTTAATATCTATGAGGCGGCGTTATTCATATGTTAGCTCAGGCATGGGCAAACTAAGGCCCGCGGGCCATATACGGCCCGTTGGGCTTTTTAATCCGGCCCGCCGAATATTGATACAAAAGTGTCCAAATGATAGAAAAGGCCGCATTCATTTAGCCTTTTCCTGCAATACCCAGCATTTCAGTGGATCCCACTAGATGGCGAACTCTAGACGCAATTTACCTTTGCTGGAGTCGGCAACCCACAAGATCTAAGAACCAAATACGTCACGCTTACATTGGGATTAACCTGGGCAATAACAGTTCATGGCGAAATACAAGTTGTAGCAGTAGCGCTGAGCAAAGTGACTAGAACACGACCACACACTTATAAAAACACTTATATCAAGTCAGGCAACACTAACCAGCTTAGTGTGATTCTGTTCATTTGACCTTACTTCAATGACCACCACTGTTATTGACCATTGTGAAGAGCAGGCAGACCTTTTCCTGTTGTTTTGCATTATTGCAGTTATCGGATGGAATCAATACACGGGCTACATGTCTCTGTATAATCTGAATAATCCCTGGCATCCCTGGTACATACACGGAAAAGATCACAGCATTAACCTGTTAAACCTCATCCCTGTTTTTCAGGTCTCAGGCTCGAAAATGACATTTCCAGAACAAATGACCATATCTATTAATAACCTTTTTTCTCAAAGTAATGATAAACCTGCGAGTTGGATGTAGAAATTTCAGAATCAATATAGATGCTTTTTATTTGAAAGAAAATTCAGATTGAACATGGTAAAAAACTGTAAATTATAGTGTCCGTCCCAAAAATCTTTTTTACTTATAGTGTAAACCACCCTTGGATGATGGTAAGGTAGACTAAAAGCTTTAGGAATCCAAAGTACAACATATAATAAGTACTCTGTATCAGGATTGATGCAAAACAAGTGACATTTGACCTTTTTAGAGAGATTTAGCAAAAACACTCCACCTCTGAGGTGATTTGGCTGGAAATGGGCGTTTTTGCCATTTCTCTGGAACCCATTGGTCGAGGTTTTACCTAAATGGTTATCGATATCATGTTTATTGCTAAATAACTTCCAAATAAATACGTAGCATTGTCATGATGTTTCTTTTCAATACTTTAGTTTCTTTAACTCTGGTGTATGGGATTTAAAATAACCTTTTGGATAAGGGGTGGAAATGGCTTCTGATAGTAAGTTGGATGCAGTGATGTTTAAAATCTCACCATACACCTATAACTGTGCGGGTAACATGAGAATATTTGTACCACATTAACTGGTTTACTGGGTGTTAGTTTCAAAATGTGCTTGTGTAAGTATTCTCTTGATGAGAAGAAAACAAAATGCATGTTTGAAAAATAAAGAATTAGGGAACCCTGACATTGGACCTGTGTCTTTGTTTAAAAAACTCTCTGGAAAAGCAACAATTTTGGAGTCATGCAAATGTTAAACAATACAAATAAAATGATGATGCTTAACCTTTTTATCAAGCATGTTAGCATACTAACTTCGGTGTCAGTAAACCAATGTGAGCAAAATGAATAAAAAAGGTCATATCTCCCGTTTTCATCAATGCTGATACAGGGTACTTATTATATGTTATAGTTTGATTGATGAAAACGGGAGATATGACCTTTTTTATTCATTTTGCTCACATTGGTTTACTGACACCGANTACAACTCCAGAGGAGTCCTATTTGCACATATAACGCCGTCGCAGGTCATTTTCATCGCAGTTTGGAGTCCCACTTATGTCAACAAGGCCAGAGATTCAAAGTATTATTTTGCCTACATAAGGGGAATGACAATTTACTCCAATGTGTCACTATAAGCACTATGAAGTAAGTGATTTTTTTGTAGTCAAATAAAACAATTAATGCTCGTTATAACTAACCAACTTAACACACCTTATAAAAAACACAAAAATTGTGATCTTTGGCGGTCCCTAAAAAATATGGAATTTTGGCGGTTGCCCAGTTTACTGGGTCGGAATCTTCCGTAACTAAAGTTTCATTTTCCTACGAAATTTTCTTTTTTACCAGACACCAACCATCAAGCCTGTTCGTAAACAATTTACAAAAGCAAAAACTTGCCCATGTTGCATCCAGACCCGACCCAACAGCAACAACCCCACTTTTCGTTTGTCGACAAAACGACGCCTCGCGTCGCGCTCGCTCGACAGCGATAGTAAAGATAGAGAGAGAGAGAAGTTAGACTAGAGATTAGATATCCCTTGACGTCATCTGTCTTTCGCAACGATATCGTTTTGGGTGCAGTACAACATAGCGCGCTTTAGTTGATCGCGCTTTTCCCACACCAGTTATACTGGGCGAACGCCTTTAATCCATATTACGTTAATAAACGTAAAGAAGTTAGACTGCAGTATACTGTTAAAAATTGTTGATTGCGGGCAGATGTGATGTCCGTAGACTTTTTCCGAAGTTGCGAAGCGGGTCAAGTGAACTTTACCACAACTGGCATCCTTCTAAAAAATTTAGAAGCGGATTGAGTAAAAACCCCTCGTACCTAAACCGAAACGGTTCGTAGTGCCTCGTAGATAGCGTAGGCCCTCACCTTGTTACAGTGAACTCGAGCTACGAACACGTAGGTGGTTAGTTTTAAAGGACGCAAATACGTTTAAGGGCGGTCACGTTCGCGATTCGTTTTTGGCGCAACTTCACCCTCCGGTCCCTGGCGTCAAGTAAAGGAAGATAAGGGTATGCTCTATAAATGCCATCGGTTTAAGTTTGCCGGCCAGAATCTATCAAATAGGTCCTACACATCGACTGGACGTGGATTCTAAGAGTACAATATACACTTCATGCTAGAAATCGAATCAAAAAGCATTTTAATGGCCAAACTATTCCACAATTTAGGATTTTCCAGAGAGGGTTATTTGTGAATAAACGTCCCTCCGGAGCGTTTGCAATCAAGCATGTTGTTTCTTACACGACAACTAGAGCACCTATAGTGGTCGTGTAAGAAACAACATACACTTTAAAACGTGTCTATGGGTCGTAATAAGGGCTTGAACAATCGGCCTATATGGTCGTTTTTTGTAGGAGGACAGGTTGAGGTAATTGGTGCTTCATGAGGCAAGCAAAGGTTACTCTATACCTCCTGTAGACATTGAAAGATATCAAAGGAAATACAGTAGCTGCTGATTGTGTTTCAGGTCAAATGCGACATAGTTTATTTTAATATAAATCATTTATTGTAATCATTTTGAGATTTTAGAATGGATTAATGCACTGTTTATTGGATTCAAAATGCACAATAAATCCCTTAATATTTTAGAAAATAAAATCGAAATAGAAGGCCCTACCTATCTTTGGGCAAGAGTAGGAATCTGGTCTTTGTTCCGATGTAAGTTGCAAATAATAAGCTTATATCACCAACTGATTCTCTGTCTGTGTTTCTTTATTTATTTCTGTGGAGGACAAGGTTTGGGATCCTAAAATTATCCCTTTGTTTCCAAGCTTACAGGCCATGACTCAACAGAGATTCTGCATGGCTATGTGCGGTCTACTGCAATCGCTGCCAGTTCCGTGCATTCCTTAACTGCAGTAATGAATGCATCCCTCATTTTTGTAGCATGAGAATGTCACACACCACAAAGCTACGGCTGGTCAGGAATGATCCCACAAACATTGCTGTTTCAAAATCCTGCTGCCCTCCCTGAAGGTCCCATTAAATAAACAGATGTCTGGAGTAAGCAGGGACACCACCCTTCATCTTAAAGGCCTTGTTTCAGGACCTTGTGACTTTAAGCATCCAACTTCTAAATGTCTTTGAGTAAGATATTACCTCAGTCCCCACCAGGTCTTAGAGCAGATGCTCAATAGCAGAACTTATCTGACTTCCCTGTGCAGGCAGGAGAACGGACATAGAAGACTTTGTACTTTTGGAAAAATAAAGCATAAATTGAGATGATATTAAATGGACACTGAAAAAGTGTTTCACTACTCAGATCAAGTTGTGTCTAACAAACATGGCTCTTAACATTTTCATCAAGTTGCACTATGTGCACAGCAGTTAACTAAGGGCCTTTGTTTACATCATGGTTTACATACGCCTTTTCTATGGCAGAAAGGTGCTGGCAGGGCGCTCCTACCAACGTTTCATCAGAAAACCCCCAGCGTTTTCTTTATTTTTTCTATGACAACAATATCTCAGAAACCTTTCACCAATGCATGTATGAAAAACATTCTTCTTTTTGATTCTATGTTTATGCTTCTACTAATTTGTAGTGACATTGTTTTTTCATCGCTACAACCATTTGAAGATTCTTGCTCGCATACTTTGTATGAATGAGTTTCATCGCTCAGACTGCGCTAAAAGTCATAGACTCACTGGCAGCAACATCCAGGGTACGCACTGCCAATTTAGTCAGGCAAATTAGTTCTGACTTTTTGGCCTTTGTTATGATAGTTCCCATCTGAAAGACACTGCCAAAACAACTTTTTCCTCCAATTTCAACAGTGACGGAACTCAAGAAGTTCTTGGAGAGGACCGCAATAACGTTGGTGTTCTCAGAAAAAATATGCTGAAATGCTGTGCTTTTTCAGAAGGAGACTGCATGAGATGGCATGTG